AGGACTGACCCCCCCCAGCCCCCTCAATAAATGCTGCTGCCTGCAGATGTGTGTGCGCGTGCGTGTGTTCGCCGCCGCTCAGAGACAAAGGCTAGGCTCTGGAAATGATACTTTATTCATGATTCTACACCTGTGCTCGTGGCTGCGCCACACCATGATTTTTCAGGGAGCTCCCCGCCCCCGGGTCACCGCTCCAGGGCCAGCGCCTCACGCTGCTCATGCAGAGGGAAGGCGATGCGGAAGATGTCGCGGTAGTGCTCCACGAAGTGGACCTCGAGGCCCTCCGTGATGAAGGGTGCCAGGTCCGCAAAGTCCTTTCTGTTCTCGGCCGGCAGGACAATACAGGTCACACCGGCTCTCTTGGCCTGTGAGGACAATCTGGTCAGGTCGGTCCTGGCCTCACCACCCTGAGTTGCCAGGGCAACAGGCAGCGGGCACTCACCGCGATGGTTTTCTCTTTAATGCCACCCACGGGCAGCACTTTCCCGGTAAGGGAGACCTCCCCTGTCATGGCCAGGTTCTGCAGCACGGGCTGTCCCAGAGCTAGAGACAGCAGCGCGGTCACGATGGTGCAGCCTGCGCTAGGGCCGTCCTTGGGAGTTGCACCCTGCAAGGAGAGTCAGGCGGTGAGCCCAGGTCATGTGACAAGCTTGGATGACAAGCAGATGGGGTCCTACCTCAGGCACGTGCAGGTGGATGTGTGAGGTGACCAGGAAGTCATTGTCAGGGTCCTGCTCCATCAGGAAGGCACGGGCAAAGGTGTAGGCGATGCGGGCGCTCTCCTTCATCACATCCCCCAGCTGGCCTGTTACCTCTAGGCTGCCCTCCTTGTCCTCTCTGTTGCCCCTAAGCAGGGGCCGCCTTAAAGACGTCTCCACGAATAAGGTGGAACCTCCTGGAAGACAGAGAGGAGTCTGAATTTGGGAGTTAAGCCCATGCCCACTGTTCCTGGCTTCCAGATCTGCCTCCTAGCATGCACATGTGATGTTAGTCCAGCCAGCAACAATGGGGTGGGGCACTCACCCATGGCAGTCCAGGCCAAGCCCATGACCACGCCAGCAGGCGTGACACTGTACATGCGTTCCACAGTGAAGACCGGTTTCCCCACGAAGTCTTGTAGGTTCTCTGGCGTCACCTGCACAGTTTCTGCCTCACCACTCACTATCTTGTAGGCAGCTTTGCGCAGCACCTACCGAGTGGAGGGTGTGGGTGGGCCATGGGCCTTGTGCTGGGCGGGGCCTGTGTGGTGGGCACAGTCTTACCTTCTCCACCTGCTTCTGCAGGTTTCGCACTCCACTCTCCCTGCAGTACTGTTTGATTAGCAGAGTGAGCACGGCTGCAGACAGCTGGGCCTTGCTCTCATCCAGACCACACAGGGTGCGGGCCTGTGGCACCAGGTACCGCTGTGGAGAGCAACTGTCAGCAATGCCCACTGCCCCCACCTACTATCCTGTTGGGGCGTCCTGGGGTCCCGAGCTGTTACTCCCTAGACATCAGACACCATTTCAGCCCATCCTCTCAGAAGCAGGTAGGTGCAGGCCAACCCCTGTTCCACAAGCTGGAACAGCTCTGGAGTGGGAATCACAGCCCTGTCCTGAGGACCGTAGGCCCCAAGTGTTGCCTGAGACCTCTGTCAGCACTTAAGACTACTGTGGGAACCAGGTCTGATCTTGTGTGCCTCCAACCCTTGGGACTCCACCCACCTCTGCAATGGCCAGCTTCTCTTGTGCCACATAGCCTGACACATTGATCATCTCCATGCGGTCCCTCAGGGGCTCTGGGATGGTGTCCGTGACATTGGCCGTGCAGATGAACAACACCTGGGTGACAAGGGAGCACGGGATGCTGGAAGCTGAGTGCACCCCTCTCACGAAGCCCCTGTACCAGGGCATACCCACCAGCACTCACCTTGGACAGGTCCACTGGCACATCAAGGTAGTGGTCCAGGAAGTTGGCGTTCTGCTCAGGGTCCAACAGCTCCAGCAATGCCGATGATGGGTCTCCTTGGTAGCCTCGGCCAATCTTGTCCACCTGGGTGAGGAAGGCAGGTACCATGCAACAATGCCTGGCTCCCATACCACATGCTAGGCTTAGGTGGGCTTAGGTCATGGCCTGACCCTCCTGTCCCGAGGTTCCCCCACCTCATCAATCAGCACCAGTGGGTTCTCTGTCTTGGTCTTTTTTAGACACTGGATGATCTTCCCAGGCATGGCCCCCACGTAGGTACGCCTGTGGGGAGGCAACACTCATTATGGGTCAGCATGCTGAGCAGAGAGAGGCCCACTTGGAGGCAGCTCTCAGTCTCACACAGGTCATCCCCATGTTCTCTCCCTGGCCAGTACACACACAGCCTGCAGTCATGCTCAGTCCACTTCCCTTAGTATTAGGAGGTGGGGGCTGGCCAGGCTAAATCTTAAAGGGGGCAGCTACCACAGCAGTAGACTCACTCAGGCCCAAGGCTCAGCAAGGCAGACAAGGAAGGGATAAACAAGGACCTCAGCTGGCTCAGCAGCCAGGATGGCTAAGGTGCCACTGTAGGGCATGAAAGATGACAGGAGAGGCACCAAGCAAGCAAGGCTGGAGCAGGGTGTGGGGCAGAGCCTGGTGAGTTGGAGCAGCACAAGGCCTCTATGGCTGGGAATGGGTAGGACCTGAGGGGGTGGGAGACAAAGTGGGCAGAAAGGAGGGTTTGCTATTATGACAAGATCCTTTTGTTTTCCACAGTAGGGCAGCCCAGGCTGGCTTAGAGCTCTAGAGCATGCACTGTATAACTGAGGATGACTCCAACTCCTCTACCTCTTGCCTAACCTTGAGTGCTGAGATGGCAAATGAGGCACCATGAGGCTTCTTGCCATGTTCTTTCTACCAGGCTGACTAGCTGTCAGCTTGCTCTCAGTGCTTAACTCAAACCCTGCTGGGCTCCTATGCCTTCTGCTCTCCTGCAGCCAGCAGCCCCTCACATCAGGGGTCCCACGCTGGATGCACATTTAGGTGCCCTTGAAAAAAAGGTTCAGGTGTGGTAGCATACATTTTTAATACCAGACTCAGGAGGAGGCAGGAGATCTCTGAATTCAAGAGCAACCTGGTCTACATAAAGAGTTCCAGGACAGCTAAGGCTATGTAACAAGACCATCACAGGCCAACCAACACCTACCTACCTCCTGCCTCTGTGCACCTGTGTTAACCCTGCTCAGTACAAATCCCCATCTTCCCACAGGGAACAGGAGCAGGTTGCAGCCTGAGTCAGAAGGGTGCCAGGCCCGGCCTACCTACCTGTGCCCCTTGATTTCAGCCACATCTGTCATGCCACCAACACTAAAACGGAAGTATTCACGGCCAAGGGCACGAGCAATGGAGCGTGCGATGCTGGTCTTGCCCACACCTGGCGGGCCATGGAAGCAGAGGATCTTGCCCTGGGTGGACCCTCGGAGCTGGCTGACAGCTATGAACTCCTGTGGAAGCCAAGGAAGATCAGTGCTCCTGAGGGCACAGGCCTCCAGAGCCAGAGCCCTACAGGGCCCTCACCCAGCAGTTGTGAGGAATCCCTTGCTTGCCCCAAAGGTCTGGGCTGACTAGAGCTGTGGCTGCCAGGCCCTGGGCCCTGGCTGACAGACTGTAGTCAGAGGTGTCAGCTATAATAGGGGACCCCGTCTCTACAGCCTGACCACAGCACACATCACAACAGCCCCCACTCCCTGCACACCGAGTACATCAGGCTTCTGCCAGCCATTCTCTAGTGACATCCGAGCCCCAGTTGGGTAGCTGACTGGTTCTCCAATGGCAGGATGTAAGGACAAAAATGAAGCAGCCTGCCCTCGGCAGTGGTAGTGCATGTGCTGTGGACCTTACCAGGACACGCTTCTTCACGTCCTCCATGCCATAGTGGTCCTCCTCCAGCACAGCCTGGGCCCTAGTCAAGTCAAGGTTTTCATCACTCTGCCGGCCCCATGGGATGGATGTCAGCCAGTCCAGGTAGTTGCGGGTGACACTGCAGAGACAAAGCACTGTGAGCAGATACCCACAGGGACTATGGGAAGCATGAGGTCCTGCCCATGCATAAGTATGGCATATGACAACTGAGTGACACCAAGGATAAGTATGGCTCACAGGAGAAGCCAAGGTCAGGCTTGCTGTGGAGAACAGCTGCCCTGGGCCAGGGACCTTTAGGAAGAGCTGTCACAGAGGGAGGGCCGTACTTCAGGGACACAGAGCATTCTCAGGCCAGGATTCAGCTTAGTCAGTCCGACACAGGAGCCAGAGTGGGGAAATTGACAGGAATAGCCTGAATCATCTGGGGACCAGTGTCACCCAGGGTCCCTGAGCAGGAAGAAGGCAATGCCCAGAACCTGGCAGAAAATAGTCTAGACATGGACCTGCAGCATCAGGAAGACACAAAGGTGCTGGGCTTCTATGCTCAGACTCACTGGTCCACCACATGCATGCTTCCTAGGCCACTGCAGACAGAGCAGAGGCAGGGACAGGGCAGCCAGCATTCCCACAGGCACTTATAACTCAGGCCTGGCCCCAGAGTCCTTCTAGATTCCCAGCAGCCTGCACAGGGACATGGCCACCCCAGGGTCTTGGTGTGGGAACTCACTTGAACTCAGAGGAGTGGTTGTCTAGCAGTGCAAGCTTGCTTAGCTCCTCATCCACCACATCCATTACATGCTTAGGGACCACAAGCTCCCTGAGGCGCTCCCGGAATTTCTCCTCGATGGCATCTTTGTCATCCTTCTCCAGTCCCAGCTCCTTCTTGATGATCTTAAGCTGTTCCTGCAGCAGGTACTTCCTGTGCGTCTGCTTGATCTTCTCTTCTACCTGTGGCAGGAAGAGCTCAAGCAAGGTAGGGCAGGGCCCTCCACAGAATCCCATGGGCCAGGTCTACAGTGGGCTTCCTTACAGTCTCCCTGGACTCCCACAGGGCACCTGACATGTGGACTTCTGCTGTAATGGCCAAACAGACACACCCAACCACAAACTAAACCACACGAGTTAAACCTGGGTTGTTTTTGGTTTTGAGGCAGGTTATTTAGCCCAGGCTGGTCTTAAAACTCCATTATAAAACTCAGGATGGCCCTGAATTCCTGACCCTCCTGCCTCCATCTTGCATGGCTTGCCTTGCATTGTAGCCCAGCCTCCAGGAGGGGAAACTTAGTTATAGCAAAATGAAAGACAGTACATGCCTGATGTCCCAGCCACTGGAGACTGGGACAAGGGGACTGTACAAGTATAAGGTTCTGGGTCAGCCTGTTTCAGAGAAAACCCCTAAATCAAAGAGTTAGAGCTAGGATGCATCCCTTCAGCTCCCCCTGCCCATCACCTCTCGGCCCAGGCGTTGCTGAAGCTTGCTCAACTCAAACTCCTTCTTCAAGAGTGATAGGGCCTTGTAGAGCCGCTTAAGTATCTGCAAACAACAGGGGACAATGCAGTTGTCTGGGAGCAGGGACCACCACACCACAGCACTGCTGACATGGGAATAAGTACCACATGGAGTCCCGGCCCTGGGGATGAGCCTGCTGGGAACAGTTACTCTGTCTTAACATCAACATCAGTGGACAGTGGCAGGGCATGGGCACACACTCACATTGGTCTCTTCCAGCACATCCTGCAGCTCATGGGACTCAGCCCCCGTGAGTGCAGCGCCCATGTCACTCAGGTAGATGGGGTTGTCCACTACCCGCTGGCCTGCCTGCATCATCTGCAACACCGACTCTCTGCAGGGATAAAGTGGCCGTGGCTTAGAGTCCTCCCCCACTACCATACACACAGGCTGGCTTTAGTGACAACCAGCTTTACCAGTGAGCTGCAGTGGGGGCAGAGAGCTGGCACCATGTGGCAGTCCCCACCCAGCCCAGCACTCAAACACTGACCTGTACAGAGGGTTCAGGGCAATGATATCCCGAATGGTCTTCACAATCTCCGCGGTCAGGGCCTGGCAAGCAGGGACCATGGCAGTCACAAGATGGCAGAACGGAGAAGGGGAGACCCCAGGACCACCCACAAGGACACAAGGTCAACAGGAGTAAAGACTAAAACCAGAGCCAGTGAGATGGCTGAGAGCATAAAGGTGTTTGCTGCCAAGCCTGATGGGGGGAGTTCAATCTGTAGGCTCCACATGGTGGAAGGAAGAACCAACTAACTCCTAGACCCACTCCACAGCAAAGCCCAACAGGAAGGTTGGCACAGTGCCACCAGCATGGGGCCACTGCTCTAAGTTGAGAGGTGTTCCGTTAAACAGAATGATTTCCCCAGGCTGCCTGCAGTCCCACGAAGTCCACAATCTCAGCATCAACCCAAAGGCCTCCTCTCTCCACACAACCCCTACCAAGAACCACTTGGTAGGTCACCAAGTGATTCTACCATCCTTCCAGAGCTCAGCCCCGAGGCATCTTTCCCATCTACAGCCAACCACAACCAACAAGGTCAGCCTGCAGAAGTTCCTGTCCTGCAGCAGCAACAGCACTGGACACATTCCAGGCTTTGGGTTAGCTTAGCTAACAGCTAAGCTACCTGTCCTGCTCATGGGGACCTTGAGGAAGGCAGGACAGCCTCAGTTTAGGGTCAGAGTGGCATAGCTTATTTCTTCCCTGCTTCATGCACGGTCTCCTGAGCTGTGAGGGAGGCAACAGGTGGGTGCTCTATAGAACGCTGGAAGCCTGTGCATGGCAGCCATGAGCTGGGGTAGCATGGGTTCGAGTCCTGCCAACCAATACTGTCTATTGTGGTGATATCTTGCTTGTACGAATAAAGCTTGTCTGAAGATCAGAGGATGGAGCTTGCCACTAGCTAACCATAGAGGTCTGGAGGTCTGTACAGACAGAAGTGAGATGGCTGGGCAGAGAGGATATAGGCAGGAGGAAACAGGAATTTGCTCTCTTTTCCACTGGGAAGCTAATGAGGTAAAGGCTTTGGTTTGCTCCTTCTCTCTGATCTCTCAGCATTTTCCTCTATATCTGACTTGGGTTTTTATTATTTAGACCAATTAAGAACTCCATTTACAGTCTGTGCAGGTCATTTCTGGTGACTGCTACTCAAGACCCACAGGACAGCACATGGCTTACCTTCACTTCCTCTGTAACTTGGAAGTCTTCATGGGTCACATTCTCAACCTCCACCATGAGGACCTCTTTAGGGGTGTCAGTGGGGACCTCAGGCACCACCTCCAGCTGGGGCTTGGTGCCTGACTCATCCTCTGCCTCCTTCTTGCCTCTCTTCAGCTTCCTCCTAGACTTCTGCTTATTCTCTGACTCTGGCTCTGGCCCCTCGGGCTCCACGTCCAGCTGCCGACTGATGTGAATCCTGCAAGCAGACAGATGCAGTACAGAGCTGTGTGTTCAAAGGCCCTGTGCTCTTCCAAAAAAAATGGGGGGGAAAAACAACAAAACAAAGCAAACTGGAAAGCATCACAAACACTGGGGCTCAGTAACAAAACACTGCACCCTAGACCCCAGGGCTTCTTTTTGTTGTTGTTGGATTTTTTTGTTTTGCTTTGTTTTGTTTTTTTGAGACAGGGTTTCTTTGTGTAGCTTGAGCTGTCATGGAACTTGCTCTGTAGCCCAGGCTGACCTCAGAGATCCACCTGCCTCTGCCTCCCAAGTGCTAGGATTAAAGGCGTGTGCCACCTCCACCCAGCGACAGTTTTCTCCTGACTGGTGGTGTCAACAGCTTGGAACCATTTGAATCAGGGCAGAGCTCTTGCCCATAACTTCATAAAAAGCCACAATCACTTCTGTGCATGCTGATGAGCACACCGAGCCTCATCCTGGCTGTGGCCCGGTACCTTCTGTGGCCTGTGACAATCATGCGCAGCTTGTCTCCAAGGTCCTGCATTTCATGGATCTGAGCAAACGTTCCTGTGTGGTAGATTTCATCCAGGCTCTCCACCACATCGGACTCATTGCTGAGGGAGACAGAACACAAAGGCACATTGGCTGGGCCGCAGCATACTGTGTGGTGCAGTGGCTCAGGCAGAAGGGTATAGGTCACTACCAGAGTCCCGAAGCATCTGCCTGGCACCTTCAAGGGTGATGGAGTAGTCCTTCCTGGGTGATGGCACCTCACTAAGTCAACCTCCAAAGCAGGATCCATACAGGACCTCCCTCTGCTGCTATAGCTAGCGCCCACTCTAAGGCCAAGAATCTCATGTGGGAAACAGAATCAGATTTGTGGGTGGGTGTCCCCAAAGCCCCAACCGTCATGGGGGGAGGGAGGGCTGACAGTTCACTTTCAGTGTTGGAAATGGGTCTTTCACATGCTAGGTAAGTGCTCCCTGCTAAGCCATGGCCCACACCCTCACTGGGGGGTTCTAAAGCCGAGCCTCTGGCCTAGATAAAATGATGGTAGTGTGCTCAGCTCTTGGTCTCCCTTGGCTCCTTTTATCTCAACTCGAAAAGTGCAAACTACAGTCTCAAGGAGAAGGCTTACTTGTCATCTCTCTTCAGAAAGACCCCAACATAGGGCTGTGCCAGGCGGACTTTCCTCCTCAGCAGCTCAACCAACTTCTTATTTTTAACCTGCAGGAGAATGACAATGAGGCTGAGGAGGCCACAGCCAGTGCTGCTGGCAAAAATGTTTTCTGCAAAGCCACAGCTTCACTAGTGTCACAGACTTGGAATGATGCTGAGGCAGGAGTTTAAGGTGGCTCCTCCCAACCCTTAGCAGGTGCGTTGGTGGCGCACGCCTTTAATCCCAGCACTGGGGAGGCAGAGACAGGCGGATCTCTGTGAGACCAGCCTGGTCTACAGAGCAAGTGCCAGGACAGCAAGGGCTACACAGAGAAACTCTGTCTCAAAAAACCAAAACAAACAAAAGAAAAACAAAAAACAAAACAAAACAAAAACCCCACAACCAAAACAGTGAGACTTGAGAGTTGACTGGGCAGTTAAGAGCCCTTAGAGGACCTGAGTTCAATTCTCAGAACCCTCATAGTGGCTCACAATCATTCCTAACTTAAGTTTCAAGGGATCTTACATGCTTTTGAACTCTATGGGCAACAAGCACACAAGTGCACATACATGCAAAAAACTTGTACACATAAAATAGATGTACACACACACCTGAGGATGAATGTCACCTGTGTAGTTTCCCTAGTAACTCTGTAGTTTAGGACACAATACATAGATGACACTAACTTGGAACTCAGGATGATCCACTTGCCTTAGCTTCCCAAGTGCCCCATTTACAGGACAAGTTGCCACACCCAGCTCAGGTGTGAAGTTTCTGATATAGCAAGGCTGGGGAGGGGCAGCCCAGACACCCTTCACCTGTGTTTGGGGTTCTTCCTTGTCTGTCCAAGACAGGGTCTCATGATGGAGTCCAAGTTGGCTTGAACTCATGACAATCCTAATCCATCCTCCCATGTGCTGGGATTAGACAGTCTGCACCACTGCCCATTTGGGTAGCTTTGTTGTTTGAGATAGGGTCTGTGGTAATTGAGAATGGCCCCTCAGGCTCATATATTTGAACTGTTTAAGGATTGGGAGTTGTGCCATTGTTGGAGGTGTGCCACTGGGGGTGGACTCTGAGGTTTCAAAAGCCCATGTCAGGCTGTCTCTGCCTGCGACTTGTGGTCAGATGCAAGTTCTCAGCTTTTGTTCCAGTGTCATGCCTGGGTGCCAACACATTCCCCACCATGATGATCACAAGCTTATGTAAGCAAGCCCCCAATTAGATACTTTATTTTAAAAGTTGCCTTGGTCATGGTGTCTCCTCACAGCAATAGAACAATAAAACAGTGTCTCATATAGTGTAGGCTGCTGTCCAACTCACCTTGTAGCCCAGGATAACCTTGAACCACTTTCACCTTAGGACTAGGATGGCAGGTATCTGACACTACATCCTGTGTGTGGTGTTGGGGCCATTACCTCATGCACGATAGATGAACACTGCACCCAGAGCCCCAGCCAGCACCAGAGCCCTCTCTGTATGGGCAGCTATAGACATGAAAGCTGAGTTTTGCTAACAGACCCATTCACCGGCTCCCAGAAGCCAGCTATAGTTCTTTGCTGGAAGCTCATAGCTGGGTCAGCATGTGTCCCCCTAACTTTGGTCATTTATGAGGTGATGCCAACAGAGATCCACATGCCAGTGTTTCAAGACCACACCCTGAATGGCAGACAGTGGAAGAAGTGTCTCTTTGCCCTGCCCCTGGAAGCCTAGAGAGTGAAGGGGATCCAGAACAGGCCTTCAGGGCAGTTCTGCAGTATCAGAACCTTTCAGGCTTTTCGAGTCTTACACATGTCAGAGATATCAGGAACTCCCTCCAAGCAGCAAATAACAGAGGCTCAATATTCAGTCACTCAGAGCACCCGTGACCCCAGGACTGGGCAGAGAGGCTGGAGGAACAGGAGCTCAAAGCCACCTTCAACTACATAGCAAGTTTGAGATCAGTCTGGGCTACATAAGATGCTACCTCAAACAAAACAAAAAGGCCCTTACACATAGGCCTATGTCTGACTTCCACAGGGGCTCTCTGACTCCAAGATAAGAGCTTCTATTATGTCCATTTGCCAGAGAAAAACCAAGGCCCTTGGGAACAACTTGAAGATAGGTAACTATGCCATGTCACCCTATAGGATTGGCTGGAAGGTGTGTGTGTGTGTCCTTCTACCAAATAGGCAATAAGAATGAAGGGCCTTGCAAGCATGGGAGAGAAGGTAGAGAGAAGAGTGGCCTCTGTCTTTGCCCACATTTATGCTGTCATGCCTCCCTTCAAGACTTGGCAGAGCCAGGAGAATGGAGAGAGGTTGTGGGATGGACAAGGATGGCAATGACTCACTGTATGACCTTGGTACCAGGTTAACTGATAACCACTGGCCTCCCTGGACTCCAGTTTCCAAGTTTAAAAAGGAAAAGCATAAAACGTTGGGGGTAGGCAGTCGATTAGGAAATTCCCCACTTAAATGTCTCTGCTTTCTGTGGATTTCATCATCCCGATATCTCTCCCTGTCTCCTCATGGCTCATTAATCTGGAAGGATCAGATGAGATCAGCTTCCTGCACTGGAATTTTCCTCCCTTAGGTAAAAGGCTGTTCTAACTAACTTTCTTCTTAGGGGTAGATTTGAGGTAGATGTCAGGACACTGCTGAAATCTTGCCCTTTTCCTTTTCATTTGGTATGCCACTTACGCCTCAGTCATTCCGACCTTCTCCCAGAACATAGGCCTCAAAGACTGTAACTTTGTATCCCCCAAATGTGCCTGATACAAAGTAATGAAGGGAGTGGAAACTTGGACAGTTGAGAGCCTGGGCTACACGAGACTCTGTTGATAAACACATGACTGAACAAGGCAGGCTCAAAAGGTGTTACGAAACTTTCGCCAAGATGGAAGGAAAACAACCGCACTCTGCTTGCTGCTAGTCGGCCTGGGGTTTCCATCATCAGGGGATCCTAGGCTCACAGGTCCCGGAGGACCCGAAAAAGGGGGAACGTGTCCAAACCAGCCATCCTCCTGCCTCAGGAACGACACGAGAGCGCTCCGTTACCTCCACGATCTTGATAAAGCGCGGGAACACCGGGTTGCGGGTGATGGCGATGAGGGGCAGGTGCGGAAACACATCCGGGA